CTTTTTACATTTCTCACTGTTTCCTGGCTTGGGGAGGATGTTGTCATCAAAAAATTTCACATGCAGAAATATTATTTTTGAAAGTCACATTGCACATTTATTTTATTTTTATTTTATCACCAGATGTACTTAATCTAGTTTGACTACTCTTCCAAACAAGTATTTTGATGGTGTGTACTAAACTATATTGGCCACCGTCCCATAGAAACATTGAATTTTACAAACTAGTCACTAATTGAGGTCAGTGGCCCCGTGTCTTGTCACCTCTCCTGCACTGTGTTGCCTCATTGTAGTTACACCAGTTTTAACCAGAACCCATACACAAACATAGCCCAGTAGTGATTTATCACGTTACATATTGGCCACAGATGGAGAGAGTAACAGTGCGTCCACCGAGCTCGCAGTCACCTCAGTGTCTCTCTGACGTCAAGCCCCTCATGACTAAATACACAGCCAGTTCCCCGGCGCTCCACTCTCATCTGATTTAATGGAGGCAGCGGAAAGCTTCTCAATGCTGCCATTATTAAATCAGCTCCAGCTATAAATTTGTATGGCAGCATCAACACTTTTTTTCAACACTAGTTTTGTTAACTTCAATACATGACAAAATATATACAGTATAATTATTGACTTTTAATTATATACATTTTACACACAGGATATGTATTTTTTCCATGTCATTTTGACACTTATTATTTTATGCCAAATCAGTTTGACAAACCTTTGCTTTATACAGTTGCTGGTACACATGAAAGCCCATTTCATTCAATTGAGTAATTCATATTTTATTAGAGTCATTACACATAACACTACTCATTCATTATTGCAACAATAATAATTATGTCAATACAATTATTGAAACCAAGAGCCAAGAGTGCAAAGTCTATGTGCAGAATTGAACTGGGACTTATTGATTTTTTTTTTTTCTTCTGGAGATTCCCTTCATGATATCATAAAGTCTTTTTGAATTCTATTTATAGTAGCACTTGATAACTGATTGTTATATTGATATAACTGTTTGATCCAGAGGGACATTACATTTTAGAGTACAATGTTACTAATAAAACTGGAATCAGAAGTTTTATTGCCATTGTCACAAACTAGAAACATGCTTTAGTGTTACAGAGTAGCATAAAACAAAGAATAATCATATAAACTTGATAAATAAAAAAAATAAGAGCATGCATTAAAATATGTTGAATAAAAATAAACTTTGGCATACAAAAAAACTAAAGAAAAATGTACTCTGTATGTCAGTTAAACCTCCCTGGCCTCATGTTATGACCTAACACACTGCCATAGACTTTCCTGGTTAAATAAAGGTTAAAGGTGCACTGTGTAACTTATTGGTTGGGGTTCCGTCACAAGCGTATTTCTATGAATATGTCAATGCTCTTTCTGGAATGTTCCACAGTATGACATTAAACAGCTACACCTTACATTTATTAAATTACAGATGGTTTTATAGCTCTCAAATACCTAGAAAAACTTGTCTGTTCTGGTCTCCCTAAAGATATAAAAGTTTAATGTTATATTGTGAAACATTCCAGACAAAGCAATACCATCTCCATGAAGAAAAGCATTTGAAGCACCCTTCACCAGAAAAGTTAATGCACCTTTAAATAAAAAATTTAAAAAAATTGTCAGTAAGTGTCCGGGTCAGTCCCCCTGCTGGACCATACTTCCTGTTTCCTGGGTGGTGTCAGGCCGTCCCCTTATACCCACACAGTGCAGAGGGCTCACTTCTACTCTTATCTGCTGCTGTGGAATGTGCCTCAGCAGCGCAGCTAAAATAAGAAGACCTACACAGAGAAAGCGAGGCATGCCAAAGAGGGCGGCTCTGTGCCAACCAAATGTCAGGAGCAGCCCCCCCAAGAAAAATGTCCGCCAACACGCTTCGCCAACCACTCTCGCCGATAACTGATTCCGACAGATCTGTGCAGTGTAGTGCAGCCATCGAAAAAGTTCTATAGGGTGCAATCTGGCTTTTTTGCTGTGTCATTTCAGAATTCAAAATAATCTCATTACATAATATCATTAGGTGCAAAATCAAGTCCATATCACGTCACTTGCTTGCACATATTATTTTTTAGCATAATTTAAAGGTGCGATATTGTGCAAATGAGTAACTCAGTAATCCTGCATTATTAGTCTGTCTATATCTCCAAAGCTCAAAATGCTCTGTTCCACCTTGTGATGTCATGAAGTGGTAATTTTCAAGTTAATAGCTACATTTTACCTCATGTTCAGTAGAGATAAAAACATTCCAGGGCTGAAATTATCCAAATGATTCTAGTGAAGGTGTATGGAGATTTACAAAACTACAGTGGAGCATTTCCTGTATTACCATATGACATGACAAGGTGGAACAGAAATATGCAGGATTTGTGTATTAAGTATGTGAGAATGAAAGAAAACGCAACTCCAGATATGTTTTTGATGAGGAAACAGCATTATAATATATATCAGAAAATAAGGTTACTTGGGCTCTTTAAATGGCTACACTTCCCACTGAGGCAGAAGATTAAATACTATAAATTATGTTTTACTTAATTTTTGTTATTGTTCTGAAACCAAATGATCAAGTTAAAGTATGTTACAGTGTCAAATCAATTAAATTCATAAAAGAAATTATGGTAAATTTACACAATTACGATTGTCAAAAATACTGAAAATCTGACACTTATCAGTACTAAAACTAGCATGAAAACTACATACTCATTTGAGCAGGTATCTGTACTAAAAAAGGAACATTCTTGAATAGCTTTAGAATGATTTTCAGCTGTCCCAGAACTATAAGACTACATAAACTAGTATATGTCCATGGACCACTATGGAACCTACTTGGACAATTGAGGGATTACACAAATATAAGGCCACAAGGTAATATCAAAGAAAATACTAAGTCTATTCCTTAATATTGAAATATAGTTTGAAATGTTGGTATTGTGACACTATAAAAAAAAAATAGCACTATAAACGGTACACTTCAGTACATTACAGTAAAGAACTATTGCACTGTTAAATAAGCTGTATAGTCAGTTTTCTCCGGTGACAGTTTCTCACCCTTTCTCACATCTGACATGATAAGAGTCAACTGGGAGTCCCATGATGTGCGGTGCGTAATGTGAAACATTTGCCCCACATCACAGCAGCCTGTCCATGTCTGGCCATAGAAATATGTCCAGTGTAAGGTTGTGACGTCAGCCATGAAGAGCTGTCATGTGAGAGCGTGCCCAAGCTGCATCCCAACACCACCAGATATGTAAATACACCTGACTTTTGGTTGTATGGGCCGTGATCAAATGGAAATGACTACTATATTTTGTATTTAAATGTTTTATTTGGTTGCAGCTAGCCGGGTTGTGACATTGCTTAAGGTCACCCATGTCGATGTAAGGGGAGCTCTCACTCCCACTTCTGACCCAGATCACCCCCACTGAGCGGCCGGAGCCCACACCAAGTTTAAAGAAACCACAGTTAGGAGTGTTAAAAGGCGATTAAACTTCTCAGATCTCTTTATAAAGATTTATCTGCCTCTTTACATTTTGCAACACCATCTTATATTGCAGGAAATAAAAACAATTGTTTCACAGATATCATTCTGACAGTATTCAAATCTATTCTTGGTTTAGCCTGTTCTGACTAATGCGTTTTATCTTGCTATGATCATCACAGGTCATCCCATATTACATAATTTTCTTTTGTTGCACTGTGTAAACTGGTTGACTGTTCCATAGGCATGAGGTTCCTGTTCTTGTCTATAAAAATAAATTGAAAATCTAATAAATATCTGAAGTTCTATCTGTTTCAGCACTTTACTTGATCTTTAAATAATACTATATTTAAATGACTGATACTGACCACAGAAGCTCATATTTGGAAGTTAAGCGGAAGATGGTAGACTTATAGCAAACACTGTATTATAACCAAATGACTGTGAGATTTATAGAGTGAGCCTATAAACTCTGTGTGTGGGTGGTTCATATTTGCTTTGTCCTGTGCTTCTGTGGGGACATCTCTTCTGTCATCAGCAGCACTGAGGCCAGGGCTCTGTCATCTATAACGCCTGTCAGGCCTTATGACCTGCTACACATTCCCACTGTAATACAACATGGCACAAGATTAATGCTATCTCAACGCAGACAATGCACTGCCACCTTGAAGCCTTCTAAGATTTCAGCACTCACAATACAACTTGTAATATAATATACATTTCATAAGATTTTCAGAATAGTTTTTTGTTGGCAGGGCTAGAAAATTCAACCCTTTTTTTGCCTTTTCACAGACTACCTCATCCCACTAATAATAAATTCTGGTAACGCTGCGGTAGTTTATAGACATAGTAATAGCTATCTAAGAGTAAAATGCATAATAAGTGCTGAATTACATCTTTGTTAGTATTTATAAAGTACTTTCAGTGCATTTTTGTCTTACAAATATTACGCTTTTAACTATTTTCTTCACATTAACAAAGTGGAAATTACAATAAATTACAATTTTATACAGTAAAATCTTCATAAGTATGAATATGTGTTTGAGAAATACCAACTAATAGCGAAGTAGCAGCTAATTGACTAATGTACCAGTTACCACTTAGTTAACAATTAATATGTGGCCCTTAAACCGAAATTCTCACCGAAATTCAATGTGGATTTGTACATTTCAGCTGCCATATATGATTAATTACTTTTGTGAACACAGTCTGAACACAGTTTTAGTTTTCCTTCGTTGTACACTCTGAAATCTTTTTTTTTCTCTTTTCTGTAGCTTCCGGTATCTCCACACCCCCTGCCACCCCCACACAAGCATCTAGTCAGCCCATCTTCACCCCGGAGTCGACGCCAAGTGGACCAAGCCCAGAGAGACTGGAGCCTACCACACGCTTTCGCTCCCTCTCCAACCCCCCTGACACGGGACAACGCCTCAGCCTCCCCCCCTCCTCCAAACCGCCGATTTCTTTATCATATTCTACCTCACAACAAGTGGGTCCTACACACAACATTATTATTATTTCAGATTTTATAATGTGATGATGTCGTACTTCCAGGTGGGGGGCAAGAGACATTTTTCCTGCTGGGTTTTAGATGATGTCAACAACATTCTATAGACCACTAATATTTAATATAGATGGGGGCAGCCAAATTAATATTGTTAAAATGCTGATTTTCCTGCTCCTACAGTGAGTTCTTGGGTCTCATGATAGGTCAGTAATCGAAATGACCAGGTTCAACATTTGTTAATTCACCTTTTTAGATATTTTATTTCAAAGTACAATGTAATCAATAGGGAAAACAGGCTCTTGCCCCTCATCTGGGAGTATGAAATCATCTCATTTTAGAATCTGAAAAACACAATTTGATAACACTGTCTTTTGCAATTAAATATCCAAAAAGTAAAATCACAAATGTTGAATCTGATTATTTCTGTAAGTGACTAAACACATTAACTTCCTGTATTACTACAAAAAAACGTTGTATTAATATTCCTTTTATCTGCCTCCCATGTGTATTAATTATTATTCTATCTATCTGAAATCTGAAATCCAGCAATGGACACAAGTTATACTTTTGACTTTGAACTAAGTACTGCTAGATGTTATAGTATTGATATTATTGTACAAGTGAATTATCGTAATTGGCAAAAGTTATAATAAACTAGATCTAACCTAGGGCTAGAAGAAACCTACACCAGGTCTGAACCATCACAACTAAACCTGGGGCGACAAGTGTGAAAGCAGCCATACACAATATTCAAATTTAGCTTCATTCAAAACGGCTATTTCAATTAATATTACATTTTCAATTTAATATTACATTTTCAAGATAGTTTTACAAAACTCCTCAGCTAGCCCTCCTGAGAGATTTTGCATGGTGCATAGAAAACCGGTCCAGAGGTGATTTGCATAGTTTGCAGCTTTAGGATGAGTGTGGCATTGACTGGGATGACCTTGAGGTGAAGAATTGCAGTAGTCTGTGAATTCTTAAAATGGGGCAGTGTCTTTGATCCAATGGTGCACTGCGTCTATTCGCCTGCTGTTTAAAAAGACTTGAGTTCCTTCGATTGCACAGCAGGAAAAGGGAGCCTGTGGTGATGTGAGGTGTTTAATATTAACTTTGTTTTATATATTTTGTATCCATCTTTCTTTCTGTGGCATACACTTTTCAAAATATTATTTGTTATAATTATAATGATGTTTAAACAGTGGCATGGCACTTTAACTGTCAAATGGAATTGAAAACTCCATCAAAAATATCAGTGTTATGGTTTTAATATCATGCAGCTTCACTCTTTACTTTTAGTTGCCTACAGGAGCTATGTCCCCGTTCTCCAAGCATCTCTCTGGTATTTTAATGAATAATTATCTGTAGAGCTGTCGTGGTGTGTCAGCTCTGAGTGATGGTGGACTGAAGCCAGTGAGGACAGATCAATATTTCATCACTAACATAGTACTCTGGTGATATTAACACCAAGGACAAGATTGTGGCTGGTGAATAATGGCCCTTTGCTCCTCTCCCATCAAGACTCAGCTCTGAATAATCCTTCAGTTGTATTTGAATAAAACCACTTTGTTTATTGGCCGTGTTGGTGTGAGTTTGCAGAGCTATGGTCCCACTGTGATGCAGCAGAACAGATTTATGAGCGCGCTGGCTGCTTTTTGGCCTGAGAATCGCTGTGTCACCATCACAGGACGACACCAGGGACTGTTTAGCATTCGAAAACTGAGGCACAGGCTTTTCCATACTGCTGCGCTGGTTTGCAAATGAGGAACCAAGGGAAATGGTATAGCAACAGGCAAATTACAGTATATGCAAATACACATCTCAACATGACACAGCATTTATTTAGGGATGTAAATATGTTGCAACTAAGATGTCTGAATTTATTTTTGCCTATGCAGTGCCTCACAGGATTCTTTGTACCAGTGTCGTGTTACATGTCTTGGTCGTAGTACATTTGACTGTAATGATCTGATAAGGCATCCCCAGCTTCTTGCTGCTAAGCAACGTGGGGATTTCCTAATATGGTGAGGAGGGTGTCCAGTTTGTTGTGCTTTTGAGGGGTGTCTCCAGCGCGTGTAACTTCCTGCTTTTTTCACAACCTCCACGTGAACTTGTCGCGCCGTGGTGAGTGCTTTTTGTCGGATTAGTGCTCCAACAATGCTCCGTGTGTTTCATTGTAGGAGGATTAATTGAAACACGCCGGTACAGGAGCCGTACGCTTGTTTTGCTTCCCCCTGCTGCAGCCATTGGATCAGGACTGTTCCACTCTCTCCCTTAAAGGGGTGCGCAGTCTAATAATAATGACGCTAATGTTGCGCCACTGCTCCTCTGGATTTTTGTTGCCTTTGTAAATTAAGGAAAATAGGCCAAGAATTGTTTGCTCTGTAAAGTCCAAAGGCGTAGAGTCGTGCGTCTGCTCCGCGCGGTGCGCACGTCTCGCGGTCTGGTCGCGGAGAAAGTCGCTTCACCCTCGGCTCAGTAACAGTTTGCAGGAAACTTTGTCGTGCTGCTCGTGCGTTGACAGCGCTGTGCCTGGTCCCGTACTGTCCAAACTACAAACGTGCCTCCTTCTGTCCGCAGGTATACGGTCTGTTCGAAGGCATGCTGGAGAAACTTGAACTCGATGATGATGGTAAGTGCCGTTTTGGGCGCAACATAAACGCGATTCCATGATGTCAGCAAATCAAAGAGTTAAAGTCATTGAGCTACACTGTATGTCTCTCTCTATCATCTAGTCACATTAACCAGTGTTCATTTCTCAGATCTGTCTCCCCACAGTCTTTATTAATGGTTTATGAAATCATAACTCACATTTTGTCTCAGATATTGAATAACTGAATTGCTATTGTAGATACATACTTGGGTTCAATGATCCAAAACAAATAACAAAAATCACAAAAGTCTCTCTTCATGACTGCAGATTGCAGTACTACCTGTACTTGCGCAGAGCCATTCTCCCAGTTAAACTCTGCAGCACTAGATCCAGAGCTTAATGGTTGTTTGGGAGGGGGGGGGGTTATTTTCCAGCTCTCATTATGGCTTTCCTGTGAGATTTCTGTTTGGTTTGTTTTCCAGCTGCTGAACCAGAAAGTGATATTTACATGCGCTTTATGAAATCCCATAAGTGCTACGACATTGTTCCCACAAGTTCCAAGCTGGTCGTCTTTGATACAGCTCTCCAAGTTAGTATTTGCCTTTGTCTTCATTTTCTAATTGCTTTTCATATGTCTGAGACTGTTACGTGTAAATTTGTGTGAGAACCAGTAGAATTCAAGTTAATGTTTCATAAAGAGGGTAGAGTATTTGTATATCAGAGTGGGTTGTATGCAGATGTCTTAAAGCTGTTAAACAATAACCTGGTACAAGTCTTTGATGTGTGAATTTTTAGCCTCTAAATTCACAGAAGCGTTTGGGCAGAATTCTTTCAGAATTTCAGACCTGATCAAATCTTTATGCAGGAAAATTTATTTTTCTTGTGTGAAGAGACATTTGTATCTAAGAAACTAAAACATTGTTTGTTTACAGGTTAAAAAGGCATTCTTTGCTCTAGTCGCAAATGGGGTACGAGCCGCTCCTCTATGGGACACAGAGAAGCAAAGTTTTGTGGGTAAGAGCAGCAACTATCTTCAGTTGTTTCTGAATTATTACATTTTTTGTCACTAAGCTTCCCCTATGGTATGGATAAGATATTATTGAGCTAGATCACAGTTTGCTTTGTTGTAGTTTTCCACGTTTAGAACTTTATGATAAACAATATACGGTATATTTTTTTCAATCTGTGATCATAAAATGCCTTTGCTTTGTTCTTATTACTTCAAATTTAACATAGAGAGAAATTTACTTTTTAATGCTTGTGGTTGCCCTTGGTGGAGCCCAGTGCTATATTGAGCAGAACTCATAGCTGTCATAAGCCATTAAGCCTAGTAACGACTCTGATGTTGAAGACTTGAGTTTTCTCTGCAGACTCTTAAGTTAAGCAGAACAAGTCAAAAGACCTATCACGATAATTACTATATCGACTTATCGTTCAGTATATGGTGGCTGGAACAATATATTTTTGGGGTCAGTATTTATCGTGTGGACATCTACTGGAAAACTTTGGTTATTTTTTAGTATGTCAAAGCCAAACCTGTGACATTGACATTGTAGCCACAGCTTGATTTGCTTTGTGGAGTTTATTGCAAGTCAGTCAGTGATGAATTATAGATGTGGAGCTGTGTGAGGAAAAAACATGGGGGCAGTGAATGAAGTGGTGCCTGTGCCACACCCCAGCTGTAACACTCTGGCTCTACTACACACAACTGTCTAAGGCCTGTTCAAACGGTGACCTTTTGTCTGATCTTTCTCTGGTTATTGTTCTCAGGAATGCTGACAATCACAGACTTCATCATTATACTACACCGGTACTATAAGTCCCCATTGGTAGGTAAATGCTTTTGCTGTGTTATCACTTGTTAACTTCATAAAAAAAAAAAAAAAATACTAAAATTAAATGTGTTTTTATATTTTTGTCTCAGGTGCAAATATATGAATTAGAGGAACATAAGCTCGAGACGTGGAGAGGTAAGGATCGCGCTAACTACAAGAAAGATCCATTTGCAATAGACATTTTCTGTTCAATGTTATTTCTCCACAGAGGTTTACCTTCAAGCAACATTCAAACCATTGGTCAACATATCTCCTGATGCAAGGTATGTTTAACATAGCTAATCTTAAGTCATGTACATGTTTAGGCTGTGTATTTAGGGTGTCTGTGAGTTACTAAAAGTCATTAAAATATATGAAATCGCAAAACCTAACAAGCACTGTAGGCATTGGCCATATTTTCTTTTTTGCTTTGTATTTTACTGCAAATCTTAAATAGATTTTAAATGACTCATTAACCAAAATTACAAAAATATGGTCCACCTGCATGGACCATGTTATAATTTTTGTGTTGTTGCAGCCTTTTTGAGGCAGTGTACACACTCATCAAAAACAAAATCCACCGTCTGCCTGTCATCGACCCAGTCACTGGGAATGCACTTTATATTCTCACGCACAAACGGATCCTCAAGTTCCTTCAGCTTTTTGTAAGTTGACCACATTATTATGCATAACTGCTGCCCCCTGCTGGTCAGTGACTAGAAAAAAACTTGATTCTAATGAAATGAAACAATACGTTTCTTCGATGTGTTACAGATGCGCGAAATGCCAAAGCCAGCCTTTATGAAGCAGTCTCTGGGAGAATTGGGCATCGGCACATATCGTGAGATTGCTTTCATCCACCCAGACACTCCCATCATCAAAGCACTTAACATCTTTGTGGAGAGGAGGGTGTCTGCACTGCCTGTGGTCGATGATGCGGGTAAGGCCTAGTCTCGACCATAGACTCTTCTGCTCTTATTAGCTATGACTCTTCTAAAATCTCATTTGTTTATAGGAAAGGTCGTGGACATTTACTCCAAGTTTGATGTCATTGTAAGTTTCATTTTGAAGTATACTGTTTTATTTTAAAATTAGGCTACTGTTGTTGCTAAGGTGTCAGTAATACAGGAATTTAATATTTTAAATGATTTTCCTGGTGGCACATTCTTGTCTTGAAGCACGTATACAACACTAGTGTATTGTATTCCATTTTAGCACTTCGATGAACTGGGAGGTAAAAAAATAAATAAAAAAGCTGCCCTCTCAGTCCACAAACCCCCCCAAAACCAGCAGATTTTGAATGCATGTTCATTAATGGATGGATATTTGTTCAGAATCTGGCTGCTGAGAAAACCTACAACAACCTTGACATCACAGTTACCCAGGCTTTAAAACACCGCTCCCAGTACTTTGAAGGAGTCGTCAAGTGCCATAGGATGGAGACATTGGACACCATTGTGGACAGAATAGTCAAAGCTGAAGTGAGCATCCATCATGATTTATTAAACACTACGAATAAGCCAGAAGCTCATCTGTCTTCTGCATGTGGCAGGTGCATCGGCTGGTGGTGGTGGATGAACACTCCAACATCGAGGGCATCATCTCCCTGTCGGACATCCTCCAGGCCCTGGTGCTCAGCCCGGCAGGTATAGATGCTCAGCACTGACACCCCACCCCCCTCCACCCCGGACACTGAGCTCTCCCCCCACCCTGCCCCATAGCCCCGGCCCAGGTAGGACACATGGCCTCCGGCTGTGAGAGAGCATGCTGTCTGCCTGCAGGTTTGCCCTGCTGCGGGGTGCACTGTCAAGATCTACACGATATCATTTTAGGGACGACATCACTGACAGGCAGCAGGCTTAAAGATATTGATTGGAATGTTTAATAGGACTTTGCAGAGTTTCTGTTTTTAACTCAAGGATGGGGTTATTGAAATGAATAAATTCAATACTAGGAGTAGATCTTTATGACAAATAATAAATTCTGGATATACAATTCAGTAACTGACAGTAAATTTGTCTAGGGCATCTCAGTTTATTCACAGTTAATTGATAATTTTGATTGTCCAGAACACAATATGAGCATTATAACAAATAAAAAATTTTAACAATTTTGAAACAAAAATAATTTATGTCCAATATATGCTTCAACAGTTAAGTGCTATCTGACTGTTTATATTAACCTTACTTTATTCATTCAAAAAGTTCAGAAAGCTGGTCACATACTAGAGGAATGGTGACCAAGCCGATGTGAATGAAAGAAAATCAAGGATTTAATCATTATTTTTTTGGCCATGGTGCTGATAATAATTCAATTGTGATATTTTTCCTCACAATAACCATAACACTATAGTGACATCATATTAATATGGCTGCCAGGGAGGTCTGGGATCAACTTTGGACATCAGTAGTTTATCAGCCACACAAGGAACAAGTTTAACAGAAAAAAAAAAAAAAAAACTTTTAAGGATGCCAGTAAAATTCTTCTTTGGGAGTGCCATATTAATGAACCAGTGAAGTTGGTCTTTGGTGTTTGATTGTGGTTCATACTGTTTACTAAGTGCATGTCAGACTAATCACTTGTCAGCCGGGGTCCAAATCCAGCTGGGATGTTTTTACTGCATCAAAAGGAATGCCTAATCTTATATCTCTTAACCTTACTTTGAGATAGCCTACAGGCAATATCTTGTATTTTTGTTTTATAAAAATAAATAAAAAATTTTTGGTTTATATTGGATTGTATCTTACTTGTCTGACATATAATATTTATATTTTGCAGATGTACGTAAGGAGGAGACTGTAACGGAATGAGCTGCACCAACTGACATGGTGGGAGAACTGATGATCGAAGGTTGTTTTTGGGAGCTAGAGGCTGAGCAGAAACTGGACAGCCCGAAGGTGCCTGCAACACTGAAATGCACTATAGAGGCTGGGAAACCAAAGAGTTAGTTAAGAAGAGGTGTTCCTGCACTGGAGATAGTCCTGTTTGGACACTGATACACATGCAGACAGTATACTGTATATACTGTACATAGGCCACACTGGATCACACAAGGGCTCAGCGTGCTATGAGGGGGCTCGTTTGGCAAGGTCCACTTTTATACCAAAATAATACTGTGTTGTACAGATGAGGTTTAGTTGCTCTTGGAAAATGATATATTAGATAAGAAAAATGCTGTAAGAGAAGAATGATAGACTATAGAATATAGAATCCATTTCCTCAAGCCATGCTGGCTTAGCCATCTTTTATATTTTTGAAATGTTCATTGTAACTTGGTACTGTCTAACCCTTTTCATTTTTTTAAACTTTTTGGCTTAGTGTGTCTAGAACAGAACATCAGTAGCATCTATAAAAGTCTGGTGACCCCTTGTGGCTGGGCTGTCTTTGGTTTATATAATTTCTAATGTACACCTCTAGTGCTGCTATCTTTATCTTGTACAGACATTGAAAATGCCAGCTCATGAGGCTCGGGTTGATTTGGGCTGTACCAAACTGAACCCTACAGTCTATGACTGTACTTGGAATGAACTAGACCATAGATATGCATACACCCCCCCGGGGAAGGCGGGGCGAGTTAAGACGGGTATAATTAATGAGGGCTATGGAGAGAATTATGTTGTTGGTTTTTCCTCTGCTGCTGATTTTTGTTCATATGTTGCCAGTTGGATATCAATGAAACAGATGGAAATTACGCTTTACCTGGCAAATAGCTGTCTATGGCAGGGCCTCTCAAACTTATAGGGCCAGGGACTTGGAATTAGAGGTACTACAAACTCAACGTGAACAATTCGATGTGTTTAAATATGCAACAAAGCAAATCGAACTGCGGCCTAATTTCTTGGAGTGTTCATTCCTATTGGCATCACTGTCTCCATCCATGTATTTTGAAGTCCCTGTGCCTATTTGATGAATGTGGCCCTATGGAGCAGTTTTTATTTGTGCCTTGGTTTAAGCTGCCCCCATTTCACACCAACAGTATTGATATTTATCTTTTGTCAAATTGGTGCAATGATTTTAGTTTTATTTTGGAACAAATGAATGTGTATAATGCAGATATTAGATGGGGAATGTTACCTTTATTTATATGCAAATTAATATTCTCAGCTGGTACCATCTTTGACTAATAAAAAATGGACACTATCGGTAAAGCTTTATATAAATGAGGTATTTTTCACTGTTTGAGACCATTGTCCCTGATCTTGTAACAGAAATGGAAATGTGTGTCTTATCACAGAGCTCATCTCTTCCTTGGACTGTAAATAGGATTGTTTTGGGTTAAAATGTTGCAGAAAGCTTTATTTTTATGAATGTTTAAAGATTACAGCTTTAATGTTATCCTTTTGTAAATACACTGTACAAAGTAATTCAAAGAAACTTTCAACCAATGTACTGTAAAGCAAGCATGAAAAATGACACTTAAGCCGTATGAATGTTTTGTTTGACTTATGATTTTTCTGGCAGCGGAAAAATAAACAGACACTGAATGTACTTGAGTTTTGTGTGGGATTACTACTTCTGAAAGGTCCTACATTAAACAAAATTGACTCTTGTGAGCTCCAAGTCATGTTACAATGTTACCTCATCAAAAACATGCCTTGAGTCGCGTTTTGCTTCATTCACACATGTTTGAGTAAGCTTTTATTATAAGTGTGTCTACATCTCCAAAGCTCAAAATGCTCTGTTCCACCTTGTGATGTCATGTAGTAGTAGTTTTCAAGTTAACAGCTACCTTTTACCTTTAGTTCAGTTTAGATTGGCAATTCCAGGACTAAAATTATCCAAATAATTCTAGTGAAGTTGTATGGAGTTTAAAAACACAATGGAGCACTTCCTGTATTACCACATCATATCACAAGGTGGAACAGTGTTTTCAGTTTGAGAGAAGAACTGATAAACCTGTGAATGAAACTAAACACGTCTCCAGGTGTGTTTGTGATGAGGAACCATAACATAGATCAGAAAATGGCAAAATATGGGCCTATTAAATGTGCATTTGACATAATTTTATTATTTTTATAGGGGGTTAATTCTGAAGTGTTTTTTTTTTATTTTTTTTATTTATATATATAGTCAAGGCAGCTCTCCTTCCTTTCTTTTTTTTCTTATCCCGTGTGAAAAAGAATCATCTAATGCCTCTATAATACTATTCAACACTACTAGAAGCCCTGGAGCGCTGTCTTCGTGGCATGCTGCCCTGAGGATATCTTAAATCTGAGGTAGGCGCGGTGTGTTTAAGGCTGTTGGGAAAAGACAGCTTCTGATTTCAGCAGCTATAACTTACTTAAAATCAGCCCCTATCCCACATATGCCAAATGAACGACAACATTTTATGCTGGAACCACATGTCAGAAAAATTTACAGTACACTGAAGTCACTAGCTGCTTTTTTCTTGCCCAGACATGCTGCACTGTAAATAACCCAGTCATTATGTTTTATTATTATGTCTTTTTGTTAAACCTGTCACGTTAACAAATGTTGAAGAATGATATTGTTACAGAGACATATTGCGATGAAATGATAACACAAACTACTTTATGCCACTGACACAAAACAGGATTATCTCAGTAAACCTATCTTTAAATATAGTGTATTATTAAGGCATGAGCTGCAACACATAAATAGCAGAATGAACTAATTATTACCCTTATAATTATTATTTATTCTAACCTCTACAGCTCAAATCTTAAAGAGCCCATAACACACAGTTGTTTTATTTTAATCTATATACAACATACCTGTTGGTTTTTTTGTTTTTTTTCCCCACACACATTTAACATAGCCATACCAGCTTGTCAAAGCCTGATCCTGTCAGATCTCAGAAGCTAAGCAAAGTCGGGCCTGGTTAGTACCTAGATGGGAGACCACTGGGAAAATCAGGTGCCACAGTGGGGTGTTGTTGTGTCCTTAGGTAAGGCACTTCACCCACATTACTTAGTAAGAAAGTGGAGCGTGCGTGAGTGATGGTGGTCGGAGGGGCCGGTGGCGCAGATTGGAAGCCTCGCTTCCGTCAGTCTGCCATACATACATACATTTACTATACCGTACAATAGTAGCTTACCATCCAGTGTGGAGTGAATAAATAACGCACTGTAAAGATTCTTTGAGTGTCCAGAAAAGTGCTATACATAAAACTGATGCATTATTATTAACAAACTCACCTACCCCACATACACCTTCAGTAGCATCATTCAGATGGTTTCAGCCTTAGCATAAAAACTGTTCATTTGAAAACTACTTACTACTTGATGACATCACAAGGTGGGGCAGAGCATTTGAAGCTTTGGAGATGTAGACAGACTAATAATAAGGTGTTACTCAAACATGTGTATGTGCGAAAATGGAGGTTCTTTTCTCAAACTGAAAACACTCTGTTGCCCTTTGTGATGTCATGTGGTAATACAGGAAGTGCTCCTCTGTGTTTTTAAACTCAAGCTATCGTCTGTAGTTAAGGCAGTGGCAGGTCATGATCAGTTGTGATTGTAGGTCCTTTTTAAAATAAAATCAGTTCGTTTATTCTGAATTGACGCAAATTAGACAATATGGGTAGTGACCACAAGAGGCCACTGTCGCACACAAAGGAAAAGTTGGCCATCAAGAAGCATCGAGAAGACATGATGCTGCGTAGTCCTGCAAAACGATTTCTTTTAGAAGGTATTTCTGTCTGCAGTACAGTGGACATATTCACCTCTTGTAACACGCGACATAAAAAGTGAGCCTTGTTAGCCATTTTCACGTGGTCCACAGACATTAGCTTAATAGTGTGCCGTTTTACTTTAGCCACAACCACCTTATACTGTCGTGTTTTCAGGCTAAACATCGCTCACTGTATGTGACTGTAAGAGACTGTGTGACTGATGGTCAGAGAAGCTACAGGCGCAGACTTGCAGCCATGTTTTTCCGCCTGTCCTGGGGCAACTGTGACTACAACGGTTGCTAACTAAAGTGTGACTGAGGAGCGAATGATGGAATTTTGCATCTGCCTGGGAAGTGACTGTCTAATAGGTTTACTCAGTTTGAACATGTGTAAACAAAACTAATGAATTCATCAAAACACCAAAAACGATTATAATTTGAGTTTGAGTTTAGAATTTAGGATTGCATGCCATAATATTATGTTTTATCATTGTTAACTGTAATTTAATCACCACACACTTGCCTACCACAGCTTTCCTTTATTTATTTATGAGCAGAAATGGTGGGTGCTCAGATAATGAACTCCTCCTCTACACTGAACATTCAAAAGGCTCTTAATGATTTGTGAGTTACCCCCTTTGATCCCTTTGGAAGTAGTGAGCTTAGCAGGAAGTTTTTAATGCTTTTTCTTTTGCCCAAATTAGGCAAAGGTACTTATGTGTGGATCTGATGGACTTCCAAATGAGGCCGAAAACTGGACCAGACTTTCGCCAGACAACCCGCTTTGATCACCCATTCTCCCCTGTGATACTGGGATACTGGAGGCCTCTTCGACACCTCGTAGCCTAAAGCTGAAGAGGCAGGCACCAGTGCTCCCCTCCTATCCGCCCTCCCAGCCTGGCTCTTCCCCGCACACTGGACCCTCTTTTGAAAGTACATGATTTAAAATTCCTCCTCAGAGCATGTCATACATTTTATATGCATGGTGGGTTTGGGGATTGCACGAGGCTCTAAAACCAAATGAACTTCCCTACTTCGCCCCTAGTCTCCTCTGGGACATACTCCAAAACATACTTTTTTAGCTACGCTTGTCTTTCACGTTTTCTATCATTTTCAATATTAGTTTTACTGCATCATGCTTTTCACCAAATTTCATAGTAGTGTAAGGCTTTGAAGACAAGAGTGATCAGAACAGAGGCGGTGAAGAAGCAGCCGCAGGGCATGACGTTTTTTTTTTTTCTTTTTAGGGGAGTAGGAGAAGGCTGGGGATGACAAGTGCAGCGTTTGGGGACAGCTTTGATGTGTGGTGCTGGGGTAAGGCTGCTCAGTCTTCTGCGGCTCATTCAGGCTCTTGTTCAAATTCAGACAATGGGAGGAAGGGAGATGTAAAGATGTGATGGCTCTCAAGTGGTGACCAATAACAATGATAAGGTTTATGTCCGAGATGCTTCCTGAATGAGAAACAGAAGACACTACTTAAACTGGGGTTGAAAATGTCCCGGGATGGTGCTGCTGCTACCTGATGTCTGTCTCTAGCATTATATCTTATCAGAGTTTCTCAATAAAGGAGGAGACCAGTGGTTCTCTGTCAGTGCCTGGTCAGGACTGCCTAAATGGAGAATTGGATTTTCTAAATTCTTTAACTGGGACACACCCGGGTTGGAATGGTTGATATAGATAAAACTGAATAGAGCACATAACATTGTCCATTCTCAACACACTTGTGGGTCAATGTATAATCTGAGGGACTTCTGTCGGTTTTTTGCTCTATGATTATTTTCAAGCACGGTTTTCTGGATCTAAACAAGTGACAATATATGCCCGTTTACTGTTGGTGAGTATCATATTGGTCAAAAATAGGGACACTGGGACATTTCTTGTATAAAACTGGGACAAATCACTGGGTTTGGATAAATGGACTGGGACAAGGGACACAGGGCTCACCTATCATCTGTACAAAGGAAAAAAGGCTGAAGAATAATTTGGTATAACAATTTACAATATATTTTTAAACATCTAAAAATTTTGGCTGGGCTGTTTCTTTTTTCTATAGGACAGAATTTTCAGATGTGTATTGCTAGTACGTCATACTGCAAGTAAGCAAATGCCATATGAATAATATATATAGTCGTGCTTTAGGGTTGATGTGTCAGAAGAATAATTTAGTTCCAGTATCATCATTTATCATCTATCATCTATTGTTTCTTCAGCAATTTATCACACTTTAAAATGTGTTATGGCGACAGGCAAAGCCAAATCTGATTCAATAAAACCTTTACTACTGAACTTCATAACAGCTTCTGTAAGCTTTTTGTCTTTTCTTATTTTTGTGTCACAAAATATTAAAAATATTTATCACACTTACAGGAAAATGTGCCCGAGCTGACCCCCAGGCAACCGATGGGATACTGTTATATGATGCATGAGATGATAAGGTGAGTGTACCCAAAGACAACACTAAGATGTGGCTTGAGAAATCTGGTTTATTTTAGGAATAATATCCTGCTAGCTTATTGTGGATATAGCAGTAAGTAAACACCAGAAAAACACAATTCACTTTTTTTCTCTTTTAAGTGCTACAGATTTGCAAGATTATAGACATAAAACAGTACAGCAACCATAGTGCCTACATTCATATTTGCACAGAATAGAAAATTACAGTATATTGCTGTTACAGTGTCCCACTCAAACCACACAGCAAGAGACTGGTATCAACAAGTCAGATGGGGTTATGTTGGCAGGTCGAGGTGGTACAGAGAAATGTGGCGTTATAGTGTTTTAGAGCATAAGAAGCGATCACAAAGCCATATATAGCAGTTGAGTTGTATGGGGCGTGTGGATTGTCCGTTTCTCCAGTAGAGGGTGCTGAACATAGCATCCCCTTGTAGAAAAAGGTAAGAGCACCAGAAATGTGTTAAAAAAAAAAAAGGGTGCATTGTCTTTGTTTTGAATGTGGTGAAGTGGACCAGGAACTGGGTAAAGGCCAGGAATATTACAATGAAAAGTTGAAACAAATTTTCAAAGGCATTTGTATTAAAATGTTACAAAATAACTTAGAAGTATTATAACATCAGTCTATAACACTTTGAAATGTGGGAGAATAGCTTAATAAATGAGAAAGAAAAAGTATAACATATAAATAAATCTGTAATAAACAATAATATGGTGTGTATAACAAATATACATTTAAAAGAAAATTTACATAAAAATATCCCATGATGCCATTTTGCATTTTATGACTATATTTACAGTGTACACATGTTCTGCTAAAATCTTCTCCACTACTTTGATTAAGCCTTTTTCTGTTGTCCAAGTATAAATTGTATTACTATGACAGATTCCAGATAGGCTGAATTATACTGGAAAAGCAAGTAACCAATCAGGCAATAGGAATATAAATCACAGTCAATCCACAAAAACCCCATACAACATTTTGTTTAAAAATTAGACTTCAAGGTACTTTTTCTATATTTTTGAAGAAAGGTTAATACAAGTTAACTTTGGTTTCCAGCTCTCTAGAACTATATACTGTAAAAATCGTGGCAGTTTGAAGCTGTTGAGTTAAAACAGTAGAGCAGCCATAAAAAGCCAAAAATGAATACGACACACAAATTTAACGTTTTTTGTTACAATAGCAGCCTGAAGAAACAATGTAGTTACAGTGTGATTCGGTAGGACAGATGGGGTACAGTTAAAACGTGAAGTGGTACCTCTAAATAAATAGATCTGTAATGCTATGACTATCCTAATCTGTTATAAATATGATTATGCATATTCTTTCAAGACCTTTCATTCATGCAAAGAAATCATAAAAATCTGAAGACATTTTAAACACAATACAAACATGGATCGAGACGGACGGATGTGTCAGGTTCACACATGGGACAAAATGGCCGCTACGAGAAACCTAAACTGCTGCAGCCTCATTGGACCTCCACTTGTCAACAACTGTCTTTTTCAGAGTGGAGCCATCGCAGCTAAAACCATGTCCAGACTACACCTGCCCCAAAAACTGTGAGAGGAACAGAGGTAGTGAACCAAAAGCGGGGAACTTGACAGCTAGTAGTGCTGGGTGATTATTTGGGAATAATTTAGCAAGAGTGTGTTGACTTTGCCTGAGGAATGCTGATAGTTGCAGGGCCCAGCTCCCTTTATTTTGTGGGATAACAGTTTTTTCTCTACCTCGACCGTTCGGCGTTTTGTGCTGTGCTTGACACTTCTCTCAGGATATTCATCAGCGTGTGACATTTTTTCCCCTGGCTTACACCTCCGGGACGTTGTGTTTTTGTCTCCACTTCTTCCAGTCTGTGTGCAAAAAGATCCACTCACTTAAGTCACCCACTCCAGTCCAGGGCAATTCATGAAGGCGTATATACCTCGTCTCCTTGGTGTATGTACTGCGCCCAAATCCAGAGTTTTGGAAAGCAGATAATAGTGTTGTCACGAAACTTCAATGCAAACTTTAACTCAATACCAAGGAAAATATATCACACAGATAATAATAGTTACTATTTATTAACAAAATAATATAATTTTAACACTATATAATAGTGTATTTTATGTTCTTGTGATTTTTATTTATTTCGTTTTGTTTTCTGTTTTTTAGTTTCATTTTAGTACTGATGGTCAACTATGGCTGAGCGATATAGGAAAAACCGAGACATTTTTTTCTCATTTTGATTGATACAGAATTTCTGCGTAGTTTAGATTTTTTGAAAACAAAATTAAATTTGCTCTTAGTATTGATTTCTTCATGATAAACAATATACTTTTAATCTGTGACATTTAACACAAAAAGACGGTTTCCTCCAAAGTCTTCCGTCTGTTCCAGACCACATGCTTTTACTGACAGAGGATTGGCTGTAGACCTCTTTATTTGGAAAAAAACAAAACAAAAAAAACACCATATCATTGATAATTTGATGATCAGACAATCTCTCAATCTTTTGATTAATTGCCCATGGTCAACTGTAACTTTCTCTTGAATAAAATCAAAAGAAAATCTAACTACGACTTTAAACTGTAAGAAATGTCTTTCATTTTTGCAAATAATAAAAGACTAGCTTGTTTTTAAGTTTAGTGGCTAACTTTTGCTTGAGTTGCCCAGTATTATTTTGTGTATACTTGATTTTAATTGACCAAAGATAAAATAATCATTTAAGACTGCGCAAGAACCATTTGATGTACAATTCATAAATTAAATAGTCAACATAAATCTTAACACACCACATTTCATCTGTTTTCCAAAAAAAGGATGATTTGAGCTTATTTTAACTTGTGTAAACCGTTGGACACTGCGCACACATGGACGGAAGTGCTTTGAAGGACCTCTGCAGTTCAAACGGGGTCCCACACCCAACTGAAATAGGGCTGGGCTTCCTCTGTCCCACCACCATCATGGTCCTTTTACTGACTGCCCCTCGCGAGCCCTGTCCACACATGCAACATAGACACTAAAACCCATGCTTGGACTAGTTACAGATCAGGAAATGAAAAATAAAACAAATAAAGATGCATGCCAGTGATCTGTCCTGCGTCAGTCTCTGCTCTGCTCTTCTCTCCTCCAGTTTTTGATTTGTTTTGACGTGGAGAAGAACAAGGAGTCTTTGAAAAGAGTGTACGTTGTCTCTCAGGGTCAGGCGAAGTGTTAAAAGATAAAACAAGAGGCACCAGGAAAAAGTAGTAGTAGTTGTAGTAGTAGAAGGAGCATGGTGTAGTAATTGGAGAGAGGGGTGTGTTCACTTCTGTGACAGGTACGCGCCAATGGTCAGGCTGGCCGCTCCGATAGCTGCCAGTCCGAACACAGTTTTGATGGAGGGCCAAGAGCAGGAGAAGACCGAGTCCCTCTGGCGGTCGTAGAGCTCCACAAAGGCTTCCTAGAAAAGCAAAACAAAAAGAATATTAATAATCAATATTACAAAATGTCACATAAATTGAAGGCTTCTATAGTTCAGGAGTTCTCATGTTATTTCTGTCCAGAAATATTAAACAAAAGTATTCCTCCAAGAAATAGTGACCCAATTTTCCTCAAAAAATTTTAAAAAGTCATTGAATTTTCTTGCTAACATCTATGCATAGTACAGTATGTTGTTGTTTCTTTCATATTATATTTGCCACTTCAACTTTATTACATTTAAATTACATTAAACGTACAAAAGACTTGGCTAATATTTCATGACAGTTTTTAGATTTGCAATTAGATACGCCATTACTTTCGCCTCCAGCCTTGGGATATGATTGAGACAAATTGAATAAGAAGAACATAAAAAAAAAAAAGCTTAGTTCCACAACTGGATGATTTACAACTTTTTTTTTTCAACAACATTCATATAATACAAAGAGTCCATTTTATCTTAATTGATGTGGGCAGGAAGTTGTAAACATGTACCAAGAGAGTGACTGACACAAGTGAAGTGCTGCTGTATCCAGAGTTACAGAGAACAATAGTTCTCTTTATGGCTGGCAAGTATACACTTACAGCTGTAGCAATACTCTCCTAATGCATTGTGGTAATGTCGAAACTCCACAACAATGGTAGAACTTAGGCAATGTGAAATGTCAGAAGCAGCCAGCCATGTGGGAATTTAGAAGATAAAGAGAAAGTGTGGTTCTTAAGGTCTTTCCTAGGAGCTGTTTGATGATAGAGAAAAAACTTCCAAACTTATTTTCTTCATAATTGAAATAATGATCATTTGAACCAATTAGGCCTATCAGGAAAAATAAATAATAAATAAACAACAGAAAGAAACTCTTTACTACTTAGTTTGCATCTGTAATGGGTCATAGAAGTTATTGATTCAACCTTTTACAGAATAAATCTTATCATGTAGCCAAAAAATAACCAAAAATGTCCCTGTAGTGTAAAGTTAATGGTCAGAAGGTAAATACTGACCTCAGAAATATTGTGTAACCAATCATAAGTTCTAGGCAGTTGACAATCTATCAAGATGATTTTAACTGATAACACTTCATTATCAATCAGCAACTGAGATTATCTGTCAACTAGGCCTTTTTAAATTCAAACAACACATTGTAGCATCCATCAATGTTGAAGGGAGGTTACTTTTTCTATTGTTATGTTTCCAAGCTTCCTCTAGTCCTTTGGCCTACAAGTGTTGTTGAAAATAGACTGTGAATCCACCTGGATCATTTGTTCTCACACATCCCACTCTAAACCTGACTACATGCGAATTCAGCCCCCTAAACAGCAGTAAAACAAACCCAAAAGATACAAACCCAAAAGAATGCAGGGCTCTTGTCTTTAGTCTTTAGTCAAGGTGTGAATAGAGAAGAGGAGAGTGAAAGTGTGTGCAGTGAATGTGACAGTTGTCTGGAGCGAGCAGACACAGACATCTGCTCAGTGACAGCGGGAACAGCTGGACCAGAAAAGGCTGAACTAAACTCCACAGTCTCACACAGAGAAACGCCACCACTCTGTTGACAACCTGACTTAAACACTCTTTCTGGGGAAATTTGAAGGGATACTTGTGGATTTTTCATGGCTTCGAATCAACTTGAAAATTCTGCTCGATATTGTGGTACTGGATGTCAGAATGTCAAATGGAGGGCCGGGACCTACAACTATTTTTGATTCCCACATTTTGAAAGATGTTGAAATAGACTGTTCCCATGTTAAGTTTTGACAGTGTTCCATGCTCACATCTTTGAGACTGAATAATGCCACCACTTTTAAATGTTTTAAATTTATTTTAATACTTTGCCAAACAAGAACAGAAATCAAACAACAAAAATAAAACCTTTCTACACCCCACCCCTCTCTCTACACTCCAGTATCCAATCCCACTAACATGCCCAAGAACGGCATCCATACCCACTCAAAGTCCTGTTGCCTTCCTCTCACAAAATGCAAGATCTTCTCTGGGGTGCATAAGGACAACAGTTTGCCTTTCCAGGTTGTCTGATTAGGGTACAAAGGCTTTCCAGTTCTTTACAATGCACTTTTTGGCTGCAGTCACTAATTTTAGTGGTGCAAAATTTCCCAATATCCAAATCTGGGGTTCAGCATCCGAAAAAAGTACACACACATCAGAAGTTATGCTGATCCCATAATTCCAACAGGATTGCAATTTGACAGAACTCCAAGATTGTGTAGAAGATTTCCAATGGACACGTTACATCTTTGACACTGGTCTGAAATACCATTTCCTAATTTGCTAATTTGCTTCGCATGTACCACAACATTTTGCATGAATATAAAAAACAAAACAAAAATGTTTCAAGCAGAGAAGATGCTAAAATTTCTGTCCATTTTTGTTTCATGTGGATGATGACAATAATGACACTCTAATATCAAACTATGAGCAGTTTAGAATGTTAACATGGCATTGAATAGGTGGCATCAGACCACTAGATACTAACACTTTAACAGTTTTCATTTGGAAAGTCCCATTGGAAACTTGGATGGTGATGTACAATGTTTTTAGTGTTAGGGGAACCAGAGCACCCTAGGTAAACAAGAGCACATGCAAACTCCACACAGGAAGACCCAACACAGTGTACTGATTGTGCAACAACAAACAAAACAACCAAGCAAAAACATAACCTTGGAAAGGAAATTCAAAGCAGGAAAGTAGGTGTGTGCTGTGTGCTTGTGCATATAGGAGACTAAAAAGGGGAATATATATATATATATATATATATATATATATATATATATATATAAAAGGTAAAAATATTGAGTCCACAATGTACATTTTAAACACATCAGGAGGAAAAAATATTAGAAAAGACTGAAAACTACAAACTAACTCAGAAATCATATTCATTTTAGAACACTCTTTGTCAGTATCTTGAGTAGAAAGTTAGTAAGTTTTATTAATAAAAATGAGATTTTGCTGTTTGGAGAGTATATGATATTACATAAATAACTGCAGCCATTCAGATTTGCTTATTGCGATCAATTGCTATTAATCTTGAATCTTGTATTTGTATTACTATATGTCTATATTTTATTTTTACTAGTACATATAAATTTATATACCATAATTATGCCTTAGTGACACCACTCTATACTTATTTAGAATTTATTATCACAATTTATATTTTTGCACTTTGTTATTATAACATATTGCGATGTGTGAGCTACTGTGTCCAAATAATTTCCTTTGTGGATCAATAAAGTTTGCCTAAGTCTAAATTCTCACTCTTTTGTCAAGCTGACCACATTGGCTGCAACAGTAACCCTTTGAAGCTCAGTGAACAAAACCTGATCAAAGTACTCCGAACAATACCCAATTGTCAAGTCATTGCTACTGTAGTATCCTCTGTATTGACTCTTTGGCTCCATACTGCGCCTGTATTTCTGTGTACTCTGTATGTTTGCCTTCGACCTTGCGGCATGTCACATTTGAATACCCCCTTTCCATTCAGTGCACAAAGGCCCTAAAATGAGATTCCAAAATGCAGCGAGGAGACAAATTTATTTCCTGTACTGGCTCCCTCTTCCCGTCCCGTGGCAATGCAGTGGGCGCCACAAAGGAAGGATCAGCAGTCGCCTCCCACTTTAGGCCCTGTAGTGTGAAAAACCACCTGGCATTTCCTTTGTTGGTGTGAGCCTTTTAATTACACAGCTTAACCAGTGCTTGATATCTTCATTTTGGGACAGCTCGCTCATCAATAATCTCCCCCCACTCGAAGGGATTTGGCTATTAATTAGAGAACATGCTCCCCCAAGTCGAGAGGAATGTGGTGGTTTGGCAAAAAAATGCTCTTGGCTTGTTTTTTCCCACCTACTCCTGGAAAATAACATTCAGCACTGCCCAACAAAACAGCATGGGAGGGTCCGCTAACAAGGCCTTGACAAAAATGACAAACTCATGGCTGTGCAGATAGCGTGAGCATTTGCTGCTGGAACACAGTGGAAGGAAGGTTAGAATGACATGAGATGAATCAAAAGTAAAGTTAGCATTGTGATAACGCTAGAAGACATTTATCTGAAGGCTAGGTGGAAGATTTTGGTTCTATTTCTCACATTTTAGAATCAAGTATGAATTTAATAAACCAGTCATTTCAGTTCATTAAGTTGAAAAAGACAGCAGGATTTTGATAGCTTACAGTAGGTGGTTACTTAGAACAGCATGACAATATTTAATGGTATTCCTTAGTTTTTAACCTTTCCAGCTACCAAATTGGCTTATTTAATTACAGTAAAATGCTATTGTTCTATTAATTTATAACCTTTATTTAACCAGATTAAAAACACCAAGATCGAGTTATCTTTTCTAAGGGGCACCAGAAGAAAACCAAAGTTACATTTACTTGGATAAAAGCATGGTAGAAATGACCACATGACTGCATTTATTGTTCTGTTGTCCCAGAGTATTTCATAGAACAAATCAAAGGTTCTGTTTGTTGACTCCACTTGCTGAAGGTAAATATATAGTGTTCTATCTTTACTTTACCTTGTACTATCAGTTGTCTCAGAGCTGTCTGTAGAGAGGTGGCACTTATTCACAAGGACAGTGACCGTAATAACTCCTGACTCAGACAGAGGTGAAGGGGATGTCGGGGGGATATCATGAGACCAAGACATGTTGTGCGACAAATAAGATCCCAGCTTTTTAAAATTAGTTTAGCCACAGCTTGTTAAATGTTTAACTAACAAACTTTGTTTGTACCTTGTTATTGATCTGTTTTTAAAGAACACGTTATGCATTCTTGTGGTTTTAATTCCCATTTTTAAACAAGCTTTTGATTATCTTGGGATTAGCATTTCACATTTTCTAACTTAAAATAACATCCACATTTGGAAAACAGACTTCATAAAGTACACCCCGTTTCCAATGAGGCATTTATGAGTTGGAGTTCCCTCTGTCAGCAACTGCATGAGCCACCACAAAACAAAAAAATTAAGCAA